TTTTTTGTTTACTCTGCCGTTCTCTGTAAAGTCTCTAAAGACTTCTACAAGGTCTAGTAAACTAGTTTGCCTAGTAGGGTTGTTCTCAGCTAGATTAGCTGCTTGGATTACTAGGTTTCTAGCAATCTCTAAGGCTTCCTCAATAGAGGTTGCCTTTGGTGTTTTCCCTACTGTAGGGTATCTTGGCACTGCTCAATAAATGGAGAAAAATTGCTTCTTGTCCTAGTATGGGTAGGCCTAGGCGGTTCTTCTGGTTGCCTGTTAGGGCACGGCGTAGAGGCCTCCTCAGCCATCTCGATTTCTGGATTATTATCCATTAGTCGTTTGCTTGTGCCTCTAAGGTCCTTTGAGGCTAGTCTTTTTTTGTTATTTTTATTGTTTTGATATGTCTGTGTTTCTTGTTGAATTTGAGCTTCAATAAGCTCCTGCGTTCCTATTGGCCCCTCTAGTCTTGGCATTAGAGCCCAAGCTCTGTGAGAAAATTCTCACAGGCGTGAGAAAACGAAGGAAGGCCTCCTTCTTCTCCCTACTGCGCGCTAGCGCCTTAGCTGCAGGTGTTAAAAGTGCTGTTAGTCGATTCCTCGTGGTCGGTTCTCCTAGATAGCGTGCTTTCCTAGCGGTTTCCAGAAAACTCGAAGTTGTGTGTGTGTGTTGCCCATGTCAGCTTAGAATGGCTGATCTTCCATGTCCACCTTGTACTGGCGTGTACCCCTCATTATCACCTCTAACTTCGACCCCATTCATGCCCTTTGTCTCCACGCCTGCACTCTGAAATTGTATTATCTCAGCCTCTTCGTCCACCGGACCGCGGTATCTATGGAATTCGCCTGGACAAAACATGGCATGTTGATCATGCTTCACGACCCACCAAGTGGCCAGAAGATTCATCAGAGTCCACACTACCCTCAAGAAGACAAGATCAGCAAGTATGATAGCGACGATCAAGTGCGGCCACGGTTTCCGCTCAGGGATCTGGCAGAGATATTGGGAATGTATGGTTGACGGCGTAATCTCAAGGGACCCAGCGTTGGCCTGGATCGACATTCCATTGTAGCTGGATGTGGCCGGGCCCAGGACAGCATTAGAACCAATGGGGAAGTTATCCAAGCTGGCCGTGTACTCTCCTAGGACGTCTTTACTGCTAGGACTGAGAATGTTGGGGCTATTTTGCTGCCCCAAGTCGGCTAACACTGTCGAGTAGAAGGATTTCCCGTACCGATCGACGTCATTCCAGATGTTGAGTTTGACTGAGCGTGTATCGTATCCATCCGTGATCTTTTGCAGAGTGTCGTCTTGTTCGTTGACGTATATTCTGACGTTCGATCCATCGGTCTGCTCGATGAAATGGTAGCGCACGTCGAAGAAGTTCATGGTAGAAAAGTCGACGTCAAGTCGGGGGGAGAGATCTAAGGTGGACCAGACGGGTTAGTTGGAACTACATACCTCACATCAACCATTCAAGAGAGATACATACTGATGGACCCTTTACGAATCAAAGCTCCGTTTTCAATGGATCCCGTGCCCCGCTGCTGCTGCATTGCATCTGCCAAAGTAATCCAGTACATGGAGCTACACAGAGGTTAGCGCAAAGTCGGCAAGATGTAGTAACGGGTCGCAAACAGGAGTGACTCTCCCCACCAGAGACTTGCCCGATTCTTTGCATCTCGTTGCAAGAAGGTTGTCTGCTGTCCATTCTCAATGGTAGGAGGAATCAAGTCGTACTCGGTACTCAGATTGAGCATCATTCGTCCAGATGATGTTAGCACAAAGCAACTGGCTGAAGCCTTTGACTAAGTCAGTGCCGATACTAGATTATTCTTGAAGTACTAGCCGATATCTTAGGGCCCCATTGCACATATCCAAATTGAGCAGCAGTCCGGTCCTCAGCCAGAAGTTCAATCTGCATATTGTATACTGAGCAGTCTTCCAGAGTATTTTTGAGGTAGCTGAGCGAAGGTACTACGCCATCTGCATGACCATTTGACGCTGCTTCTGAGCGCACCACACTATCAAGACGGTAAGGCAGGCTAAGTTTGTTGGTGAAGAACTCTATCATTCCACGTTAGTCACGAGCTTGAACTTGAAAAGAGGCTCCTTACTTGTGCCGACGAGGATATCCCGGGCTTCGCAGGACCCAGAAACCTACTCTAGTCAACTTTTATGACAGTGTATTGACGGTCCAACAGACCTTGCCCATAAAGTTCAAAGGCCACTGCGTGAGGAATTTCTCGCTGGTGAGCGTTGCATTGGGGTTATCTGTGTAGTGAACTCTATTGCAGAATCAGCAGTGTTGAAGGCTGTACCTCACATATTACCCACGCTAGGACATAGCCATTGGCCGCAAAGTTGAGAAGAGAAAAGATGGTCGCAAATATGGCGAGGCTAATCAGGGCTACGGGTGTGAACCATTGGAAAGGATACGGCCTGGACAAATGATAGCGCAAATAGGAGTTTGCCATGTTCCTAGCGTGTTTCTCATACCACACCGGTAATGGTGGAAAGGAGATATGTACACCCAGCCTGGAATGCCACACGGGCATGAGCTTTATAATTTGCACACAGTTTGACTCGAAAAGCCGATGATAAGGATTCCGAGGCGCATTGAATCACTTCAATAATCCCCAAGAGCACATCCAATCACCGTGTGCGTTGTTCCTAGAAGACCAGCCTGCTAAACCAAGTCGGGGATATCTTAACGAATGAAAGCCATGCTCGCCCCCAAATTAACTTAGCTGCCGCCGCGATGCTTCATAGCACTACTTTTGGGACAATGTCCGGAGTATTTGCTACGGCGTTCTGCACGGCGTTCTGCATAGCGTATTTTCCTCAGCTGTCCATCTGCAGACTTGGCTTCAGTTCTCAGCCTCAGTTATCTGCGTTACACAGTGCGAAGTTTCAAAGCATGCCACATTGACAATCCATTATATTTATATCCTTCTAAATCGGCGTTGTTGCTGAATTCATAACATGTTCCACATTCCAGTACTGGCTGGGAATCCGTGGCCTTTGAGCAAGCCCGAGCGGGCGAAGAATCCACGCTCACTTTTCCTTCTGCTTCTCCTCAATCAATGCATCCAGTCTCCAGAATGAAGTGATGCCCTCTACAAAGCACGTACCCACCCATTTCCACCACACGGCATCCAAAAAGGTGCAGCCATGTCGTGCGAGCTTCCGCACCATAATGACAGCCTCAATGGAGTGGATGGGCAGCATGATCATGAAGATAAGCCAGCCCATGCGAGCTGCAAAGTTTGCCAGCCATGGGACCAGGTAGAGGGCATGGTCGTAGAGGGGTGAACCCGGCTGCCAGTTTGCAGGACGTGGCAGCAGGAGGAAAGACAGGAGGCACTGGGTAAAGTTCCACAGGTGGGCGGGACGAGTATATGGAGGAATAAACTTTGTAACGGATATGTCGCTCCGGCCCAAAGTCTGCAGAGCATCCTGGTCCATCTTGACCAAGCGCTCACGAGCTTCACGCAACGTCTTCATTGGCGGATCCAGCCCGATGACGGCCTGCTGTCCACCACAGCTAAAAACCATCTTGTCCAGGTCCAAATCGACCATGCGCGCGTTGCGACTCTGGAACATGGACCTGGCAGCATATGCCTCGACGTATCGGCGTATCTGCGGTGGATATTAGAAACTGAACGGAGCGTATATCCGCACTATGACGACGCGTACAGAGTCGTGATGGGCTGCGTTCATGTGCTTGATGATGCGCTGCTTGGTGGCCTCGTCGGTAGCTTCTGCGGTTGCCATTGCGGTGGAATTGACGGTCGGGCTATGAGGCTGGGCTTCGCAGTCGCTCAAAGGTGCTGGTTCTATAGATGGGAGATGTGATATGATCGCCGATTCCAGTTCTGCGGTGTACGGTCGCTGGTCGGGCCGGGAGCGCGCCGCGCCCTCGGTCTCGCTAGCACGACACTCGGGCCCGTGACACGACTCATTTGTTTGATTTGCATGCTGCGCTCTACTTTACGTTGTACGACTCTGTTCAGACGAGAAGACGGTGCGGCAATGTGCGACGCCGCCGCCCTGGCCAAGGGGGGAGGGGGAAGGGGTGAAGCCTCGTCTGGCCGGGCCAGGGGGAAGGCTGGGTGTCTTGGAAAATGCGATCCTGGACGGATTGCCGCTGATCGCCTTGGACTTACGCATTGCTTGATCATATTGACAGCAGGCCCAAGAGGTGCGACACAGGCTCCAATGGCGGGGCATGGAGGCTGGTGGGGAAAAAGTTGGAACGCATTGGACTGGACAGCTTGGCCGTGGCATTCTAGGCCCAGCACCATCATGTCCGTGGCGGCTGTCAGCGCGGCCAGCGCCCGCAGGGATGGCACCCGGTTTTTGGGCAGACTCGAACTGGCCTGGCGATGGGATGAGGGCGGGCGCCACATGGTGCGTCAGACTGCATACCCGGTGGGTCGTGTGTAGCAGGCCCAGCAAGTACCTGGGGGCTGCAAACCGGTTACCGTTCGGATGCTCGCATTCCTTATTATCAACGAGTTGCTCCGTGGCCCTGCATTTCAGACGGCCTGTCATCTTCCCAGCGGACACGCAGCCCGTGACACTTTTCTTGCGGATACACGACACTTAGCAAGTGCGCCTCCCCCCCCCTTCTCTGAAGAAATCAATTCTAGCACACCATGGCGGACACAGTCGAGGAGAGCAAGCAATCCATGTCCGGAGAGGGACAGGCTGATGCCAACGCCTCTGTGGGCGGAAAGGGCAGTGCGGAATCATCGAGTAAGAAAACCGAAAGGAAAACGCCGAAGAAGCTGGGCGGAAAGAAACCTCAACAGCAGCCCACTCCTGACGCCACTCCTGCCCCTGATAGCGATGGCGAAGGGAACGCTGAGCAAGAGGACGCAGGATCCAAGAAGCAGACCAACGGCGGCGACGCCGACTATGACTCGGACGAGCCCCAGCCAGAGAAATCAAAGTCGCAATCGAGACGCCGCCAGTCGCGTGGCCGTGGCCGACGAGGCGCAGACTCTGGCGCTGACTCTGATGCGCGATCCGACGTCTCGCAGTCTGGAGGCCGCCGCAACCGCCAGCGCCAGAAGAAGGGCGGAAAGGGCGGCGGCCCGCTTGGCGACATATCTGAAAACGTTCCTGGAGGAGACCTCGTCGGCGGCGCGGGCGACATGGTCCAAGACACTGCTGGCAAGGCCGTGGGCCAAGTGGGCAACACGGCCGGCAAGGCTCTCGGGGGCCTGACTGGCGGCGGTGGTGGTGAAGACGAGGGCGGCAAGGACGGCGGAGAGCAGCTGAGGCTGCGATTGGAACTCAACCTCGACATTGAGATCCAGCTCAAGGCCAAGATTCACGGTGACCTTACTCTCGGATTGCTGTAAGTCGGACCATGCAATGCGGCGCTTCTTTATCGACCCAAGCACTAACAATCACTAGCAACTAAATCGCTATTTATGAGCTCTCTCTCTCACACACACACAGACGTTATGTATTGGCTATTGTAATTGGACATTTCAAAGGGCGTTTTGACCTGGAGTTTTTCGCACACAGTGTAATTGTACCTATTCGCCTTGTATACGAGTACTAGTACTACACGCTAGCTGCATGAATTGTATATCCTCTGTTTTCCTCATTACTGGAAAAAAAAGAATCTGTTTTGCTTTGTTTGCATGTCAAATTTGTTCTTTGTCGTGTATCTACACCTACAGTAGGCGTTAACGTGCGTTTACCTTTTCTCTCTCTGTCTGTCTGTCTGTCTGTCTGTCTGTCTTCGCATGCTCAGCGCCTCACGTGACATGTCTCTACTAGTACCAAGTACACATTCCTCGAAAATAGCGGCAGGGCCAAGAAAAGCAACAACCAACATTAGAAAAAAAAGAAGGGAAAAAGATAAAGAAAAACTGCATCATGGCGTCATCATGCCGGAAATGTGGGAGCGGGGGTGTTAGACATCCCGGGCGAGGTAGGAGGGATAGAACAGGCTATATTACATTATGCGAATAGTCAAGGGGGCGGGGAAGAGAAGAGGTTCATCATGCATGGGGGCAAGATGAACTATAAGGCATCTTCTATGTACATGACTAGGATGGTGATGTAGCATTTGCCCCAAACCAGCTTAACTTGTGCATCGCAGGCGCGCGGGTGGGAGGGGGGTGGGGAATACGCTTAGCCTGTCATGTGCGGCGGAGTGGGAGTGTATGTAATGTAAGAAAAAAGGTTGGAAGCATTTGTATGTTTAGGTTGAGGGTATTGGTGTACTAGGACGGCCGAAGCATGGCCGTTCCGCTTCCCCCTCGCAAACCCGCTCCCCCCTGGCTCTCCGATCGCCTCGCTCGCCTAAAGTACGTTTACACGTAGACGATACGGGAATGGCAATGGGCGTCGTCAGCAGGTCTGGCCGACGACCAAGAAGCAAGACGGCACACACGCGTATCCTGTCTGGGCGTGTGGCGGGCCATGATGCAAAGTTGCAAGTTATGCGCAGCCATGTGGAGACGGGCGCTTGTCTCCATCCGGCATTGACGTCAGCCGTTGCGGGCTGAAACGATGCAACCACTCTTGCCGACAAGGATGCAAGCCGGGCATTGCGCTGTGTACCGACACGGCCTACTGTATACGCTGTGTAATCTTGTTTTCGGGGCGGCGGCTGTGGGTGTGGGTGTAGCTTGCTGTTGCTGCTGCTGCTGCTGCTGCTGATGCTGCTGCCGTGCGTTGGTGTGCGGTGCTGGTTGCCATCACTCTCCACTTTACCAACTCCAAGTTTCTGCTTCTACGGTTTGACAACCGCCTGAAGCCTTTCCCCCCCCCTCTCTCCTCCCCCTCTCCTCGACTGTCTGAGGTACCCATTCGATCCCCTCCAACCCTTGCTCTGTGTGGTATCTCGTCTTCCTCGTGTCTACTTTGACCCGTATACCTCGACACCCCTACACCTACCCCCTCACCTAGCTGAGGCCTTTGCATGATAGCAAGGGAGCCCGACGACATGGCGGACAAGAACCAAAGCGATGCGTCCGACTCTGAGCCGCACGAGCGGTCGACGATGCAACAGCAAAAGGCCATCAACAAGAAGAAGCAAGACCGCCGTGAAGCCGGCCTGCAATCGGCACGGTCGCGGTCGTCGTCGCGCCGTGCCCGCCGCCAGCGGCTCGAGCAGGACAAGAAGGATGGAAAGTACATGCACACGACGCCGCTCGAGGTGCTCGAGGAGGCGGATGCAAACGGCGACCTCCAGAAGATGGGCATGTTCGAGCGCATCGGGCCCGACAGCACATCCATGGACGGCCCCGTCACCTACGCCCGCGCAATGCGAGGCGAAATCCCCATGCGCGGCACCAATCCCAACCAGCCCTACCAGATGGAGCCGCAAAAGGGCGGCAGCGAGCTCAAGGACCAGGACGGCCTGAAGCTGACGCTCGAAGCCAACCTCGAGATTGAAATCGAGCTCAAAGCGAGTATTCGCGGCGACTTGACCCTAAGTTTGTAGTAAGTTTCCTCTTCCCTCTCTCTCTCTCTCCTCTTTTTGCCCCCCCGTTTCGCTTACACCGGAGCTTCTTCTCTTTCTCTTCTGCTTCTCTCCTCTCGTTTACTCCTGCGCATGGACTATGGACTGCACGAGCGAAAGCCCCGAACGCTTCTCTTCTTCTCTCCACACCTTGTTCCCGCCAAACCAAGACGAGAGAAGCAAAACAAAAAAACATAACACAACACAACAACAAAAAGCTTGGTGAAGAAAATGGCTAATTGGCATTTGTTTCACAGCCAATAACACCTTTTTGCTCTTCATTCCTCAAAACTTGGTTTCGAGACGCGCAAAGGAAAAAAAAAGAAGATTGTGTTCCCCCTCGGCCCTCGCTCGTGCAGTCTTTTGTCCTGATCGGTCGACTTCCTTTTTCCGATTTCATCATGTTGTTTTACGATACCTTTTACATGTCTCTTTTTCTTTCTGCCAGCCATCTGGCCTGCATTAGTAACCTTACTTAACAGTGAATAATAGTGCTTGATCGGCGTCATCGCTTTCCGAGCCCGCCCCTTCCTCTCCCTAACGACACATGATGCTACCTACGACTTGGCTTTGGGCTCACACGCAGCTTTCCAACAATCGAGGAGGCGATATTGTCGAGGAGGAGGTGCAGACGTGGCAAACCATCTTGAGCGTTTTAGGAGTTTTACCCAGGGCTGTTTTTCTTCGTTACTTGTGCTTGTGGGGGAAGTGGGATTTATATATATATATATATATATATTCGGTTTGGCATGTTGCGGGAGACGAAACCAGCATTTTCTATAATGAATGATATGAATGGTTGTTTCGTCTGACATGTGGATGGACGTTGAGTGTTTTGGATGCCCGGGCCTCTTGTGCGCGGGTTTTGTGCTGATACCACTAGAGTTGTCAAAGTGATGCTGTCGTCTTTTCCCATGTCACGCGCAATGCAGGATTGACAGAGTCTGCATGGTGCGGCAACTCCATGTGGGTAGTAGAAGAGGTTCATAGGTGTAGACCCTGCATTCATATGCCGTTGCGTGGGGCTGTGGTGTTGTTGCATGTGGTACTGATGCAACAAGAGCCCCAGAGTCTAATGCAACCCTCATGTATCGCCAGTAACGCAGGGTCGTATCATGCTTTACTGAGACATCAACCGGACTAGCAGCCATAGCGAGACATTGGTTGCCTCAAGGGATTGTGGAGTCTTCCGCATCCCCAGAATCCGGATACTAGGCGCTGCTTACTCTAATGTGTTTGAGTATGAGTGCTTTGTCTCTCGAGTGCATCCACCCTGGACGTCATGTTGTATTTGATAGTGGTACCGTGTGTGTAGGAGGCCGTCATTTTAGTGGCGAATGTGACCTAGGGCAAGAAATCCCATTTGTCGGCTGCACCTAGACTCGACTACTAGGGAGTGTGCAGCGGCATGGGGAGATGGTATTACAAAGGTCAGGTTCGCTACGCTTGTCAGCACCAATAAGACCAGGTATGTATGCAACGGCGTGACGTTGACGTGCAATGGCTGACTGAAATTTGGCCGAGATCTGCAACGGTTATCCATGATGTGATACGCCATGGCTACCGATTCCATAGACCTGGTTGCGCGTAAACCTTTTCCCAATATGCAGGACATGGTTTCCAATGTGCACGTGGACACTGAATGGATTGGATAGTATCGGTCACGAGACGGGAGTGTATAATGTGTGGTATACTGCCATCCCTGGAGGTGTGAAACATTCAATCTGAACAAGACCGATGTTCAGGTTCAGATGGGGTCGGGAAGTTTTCTGCCAATGAGAGCAGGGGGTGGATGGAAAGCTGCAGCCAAGAAAAGAGCAAGACCTTTGACGATCAGTATAACATTACCCCTCAGTGTGTCTTGTTTGCGTGCGTCGGGTGGTCTAGGAATAGCAATGTGATATTAAACCGGACGTGCGAAACGGGTGAAGGAGCATGCATACTAGGCTCAAGAGGCTGCATCCGAATTTGTGAATCTCAATCGAGTCTCGTAGCAGCCGATGCTATGTGGCGGCGGTGCCGAGTCGACGATGCTAGCATGACGTGAAACGCAGGCGTCGACGACGGTTGTGGTGGGAGGGCCGAGTGGATAGGATGGATGCATGGCTGGAGGGGGAGGCGAGGTTGGTGACTCCAAAGTTTGTTGGTGATTAGCAGGCAGCTCCAAGGGCTGCGTGGCATGGTTGCAACCCCCACGCTAGGTAGTGGGTTGGGGTAGAGTCGGAGGCGAGGGTAGCAGTAGCACCGCAGAGGGACCTGTGTTTCCGATGGGTTGGAGTGGGCAAAGATACGAGGACGAGCAGCCTAGGTCGTGGTATGTGCTAGGAAGAGAGAGCATGAGCATGAGCATGAGCATGAGCGTGGCGTGGCGGTTGCTCCGTGCAAAGACACCCGGCACGCGGGACTGGAAGACTTGGCAGGCGCAGGCTTGGCATACTTTGAGCACACGATGGCGAGTGCACGATGGAGGAGCACGATGCAGCACAAGAATAGGAACAGGCACGGGAGCAGGAGCAAGGGGGGGATAGAGTTGGCGTGGCCGTGGCAGAGGAGCCTCTGGCGAGAGCAGGCAGGTAAGCGGGCAGGCGGATTTGGTCGCCGACACAGGCACCGGCGGGCTGGTGATGGGCAAGTGAAGGTGAGGCGACTGCAGAGAAAGCTGTTCCAGGCAGGTCACAGCCAGGGCGGGTTAGTCCATGTCGCCGACGACTCGTCGGGGTCGCGGTCGGCCGATCGTTCGGAAATATTGCTGCACATCAGTGCAGTGGGTGGGGAGGGGGGGAGGGCTTCCCCGAGCATGCTGATGCTGATGCTGATGCTGATGCTGATGCTGATGCTGATGCTGATGCACATGTTCAGAACATGTCCCCTATTCCTGCCCCGTCGACGGGCTATATGCGCGGCGTGATATAGACATGCTGCAGGCGGCCTGTGGCCCAACGGGAGCCGCGCGGATGGTGCTGATGGTGCTGATGGTGCTGATGGTGCTGTTCCCACCCCGCCTGCGGGGGAGGGCAGACAGACGAGGTATTGTATAGTGTGTGTGTGTGTGGACAAAGATGTAGGATAGCTGGCTAGCCACCCATGGGCCGGCCATCAGCGCCGGCGCGACACGACACGACACGACGCGACGCGAGGGGCGGATGCGGAAGCTGTTGCGGGCTAGCCCAGTGGCTGCACAGCATCAGTACGCTCACATGGACATGTGTGTGTGTGGATGGAGGGAGGCGTGGACATGTACAGTAGGTATCCTCGCCCCATGCCGAAGCTTGTTCGCGCGACAACTGCTGCTAGTATTTGGCCGACAAAGCTGCGCTTCCGCGGGCCAATCGGAAGGCGGGACCGGGAGGCGTCGGGCGCTGCCATTGGCGCGTGTCGACTGCCGCGGTGCGAGTCGCTGCGAGCTGCTGCTGCCCATGGTTTGGGGCAGGGCAGGGAGCTGTGCGGGCCGCAGGGGCCGGCGACACGCTGCTGTGCCTGTCACCCTGTCGCTGCGATTATGCATGGCTGCGGATGGCATCACATACATTGTCATGTCCACCGCGCGCCGACAAAGCCCACCGCACGCCTTGGGGAGCGCGGGCGCGGGCGTTGTGGGCGCGGGCGTGGGCGTGGGCGTCGTCTTGTGGAGAGCATGGCCTTGCCGGGGCGCGGAAGCTAAGCCCTCGGTGCGCGCCTCGTGTGAATGGCTGGCGTGCGGCGTGCTACTGTAGACCCTGCCCGAGGCCAGCCCAGCGACTTCTCCCCGCTGCATGCACCAACATATCACATACACATACACACACACGCGCGCGCACGACCATCACTACGCCCATCACTACCACCGCGACCACCGCTATACCCGCTACTGCTGCTGCTGCTACTGCTACCGCTACCGCTACTGCTACCGCTACCACTACCACTACCACCACTACTACTACCGTCGCCCGCGCCCGCGCCCGCAACTCATACACGAACCGTCCCGCTGCCTCCCCCCCCCCACTCACTCACTCATTCACTCACTCACTCACTCACTCACTCACTCACTCACTCACTCACTCTCACCTACCTACCTACCCACCCAACACCTACCACCCCCCCTCGTCCAAAAACCCGCCGCTGCACCCACCACCCCCTCCCCCTCCCCCGTCCTGCGCTCGGCACACCCGCCTCCAATGTCCCAACTGTGCCTGGGGCCTGTCGTCACGCCCGTCACCACGTCGTACAGGTCGCTGTCTGGGCCCGCCCGCCTCTTCGACTGAGCACCGCCCCCATCTGCTCGCAGCAGAGGCAGCAGCGCCCGCCATGCCTGCCACCGGAGGAGGAAGGGCGCCCCATGCCCCGTCCGCCAAAATGCCCCCGCCGCGCAGAGAGAGCAGTGCCGCCGTGCCAGCCCAGCGCCAGCGGCCGGGCATCAAGACGCGCGCCTACTCGGCTCCCAGCGTGCCCAAGAACGACAGCGACGCGCCCGCTCACGTCGCCCGCACAGACGACGACAACGAAGGCGAGGAGATCGCCGACGATGCCTTTTTCCAGCGATACCACTTTCCCCAGCCCATGCCTGTAGCCCACGAGGAAGACGCTCCCAGCAGCCCCGAGTCGTCTTCAGACACCGAGGGCCCGCTGTCGCCCACGCACGTCAAGGATCGCCACCACGCGCGCGACAGCATCTCGGCCCAGTCCACGGGTGTGAGTCTTGCCATTGCCCCCCCCCCCCAGACCCCGACCCCGGCCCCAAGGCCAAGACCACGGCCACGACAAACAAACAAACAAAGTACAAGTAGTAGTACTAGTAGAAGAAGAACAAGAACAAGAAGAACAAGACAGGCTGACGTTTTGCCCGTGTAGTCTACCAATAGCGATTCGGCGTCGGCCATGCAAGACCTGAACATTGCCGTCATTGGCGTGCGGGGTTCGGGCAAATCTACCTTTACACGACGCGCCCTCGGCCTGCCAGACACGGCCTCGACGGGCAATTGCTCGCGCAGAATGAACATTGACGGCAACACATATCTAGTCCGCTTCCTCGAAATGTCCTTTACCGACGTCCATGTCGGCGAGCGCAGCATCATCAAATGGCCCGAAACAGTCCACGACTTTGCAACACCGCGCATGCATGCCGCCGTCACGCTCTACGATGTCACCAACAAGGACAGCCTGGCTAGTGTCCCAGACTTGCTTAGTTAGTGCCCGCTTGAACCAGCCACGAGGCCGCCGCCGCTGTTGCGCCATGCTAACCATGCCCCTAGACACGTTCCACATGGCACAACTGCCCTTTATACTCGTCGCCTGCAAATGCGATCAACACCCCGCCCATGGCGAGGTCGATCCGTCCGTGGTGGAGCAGAAAGCAAAGTCCTTCATTGGCGACGTGAGCGTGTTTCAGACGTCCGAATCCTCGCCGGAGGCGCACCGAGCATGCCTGTCGGTCATCACCCGAGCTGCGATAGCGGCCATGCGACGTAAGTTAACTCATTTCTTTTTTTTTCTCCTCTCTCTGCCCAGCCCAGCCCCCCCCCCCCAGTGACGTGGTCTTGCGCGTCGCTCCCCTGGCCTGCTCTCCTGTACCCGCGCACAAGGATGCAAGTCATTGACATGCCTCAGCTCGCTCACAAGCCTCCATGGCTCGGCGTCGGGCCAACTCTTCTGCAGTTCAGTCCATAACCCAAAAGGACCTCTGGGGCCGCAAACACGAGCGTGCTAGTTCGGAAATCTCCCTGAGATTTCAACGCAGGCCTAGCGAGGCCAAGGGCCACCGTTATAAGCCCAGCGACGTCAACAAAACCTTTTTCAACGCCGACGAGTCGCCCGGCTACGACTCGCAGGATTCCGATGATCAGGACTCGGATGCCGGGCAAAGCATCATGTCAGTGAAGCCCTCGGACGAAAATGGATACACCTTTGAGCAGCTCGTCGACCGCCTCCTCGCCCAGCCAATGTCGAAAAATGACACCAAGTTTGTCTCCGTCTTCCTGGCCCTGTACCGGAGGTTCGCCACACCGGGCCAGCTCCTCGAGGCCATTATCAAGCGCTTCGAGGCCTTGAACAAGGACAAGGACCCGCCCATGATTCGCATCATCGCACAGCTCCGCTATCTCGCCATTCTGCAACGCTGGGTCGCCTACTACCCCGGCGACTTTGCCTACCCCACCACGCGCCGCTTGGTCCGAAGGGTTGCCACGTCGCTGGCCTCGAATCGTGAGTTTTCTGTCGCTGCAACCGAAATCATCCGCGATCTGGAAATGGTCACCGAAGACGACGACACCGACTGGGCCTGCAGCGACCGCCAACGCACCCAGAACGAGAATGTGCCCACCTTCCACCACAACGTGCTCGACGAGGATTCCGACGAAGACGAGTTTTCAAGAGCCCTGGGCCACATGTCCATGGAGGACTCTGCGCGAAACTCGATTGCCCGCAGCAGTCTCACTGGCGGCGCACCCTCTACCAACGGCTCCATGGGCTCGTCGACGACGCTGCTCACACAGGTCGAAAACAATGAGCGCCTTGCCCGACAACTGGAGCCAAACCCAGTCAAACCTCTGTCCAAGACGCATTGGCACCAGCTCATGAGCGAATCCGAGGAAGCCATTGCCAAGGAGCTGACACGGATTGACTGGATCATGTTCTCGTCGGTCCGACCGCGCGATCTTGTCCGTCATGTCAGCCTCAACAGCGACGAGAAGAAGCGGTGCAAAAATCTCGAAAACGTGACGCGCATGACGGAGCATTTCAACCACGTCGCCTATCTCGTCACCAACTACATTCTCCTGCGTGACAAGCCCAAGCACAGGGCGCTCATGATGGAGAAGTGGATGAAGGTTGCGCGGCAGCTTCGCAAGTTGAACAACTACAACATGCTGGGCGCCGTCATGGCGGGCATCAAAGGCACGGCGGTCATCCGGTTACACGCAACCAAGGACCTGGTCCCTCAAGCCACGACGCAAGACTTTTGGAAACTGGACATTTTGATGAGCCAAACCAAATCACACGCCGCATACCGCCTGGCCTGGGAGAACAGTTCAGGGGAGCGGATTCCTTACATACCCCTGCACCGCCGCGATCTCGTATCAGCCTCGGAAGGCAATTCGACGTTTATTGGCGATAAGAAGAAGACTGATTCGGCCTTGGCGCCACACCCAGGCGTTAGCGTTTTCGAGAGCGCCGCTGGCAAGCGCGATAGTCGGGAGCCACTACCGGGTGGCGTTGTTGGCAAGGAGCGCATCAACTGGCGCAAGTTTGAGATTATGGGCGAGGTGATTGTGGGCGTCCAACGCGCACAGGGCACGCCTTATCCCAGTTGGCCAAAGTGCGAGGAGATTCGGGCGCTGATTCTCGACGTTAAGATTAACAAGGACGATGAGGTAAGTAGTGGACACGGGCTAGGCCACGTGGGTTTCAAGCTGCTGACGCGCATTAGGACCTCTGGGAGCGCAGCGCCCATCTCGAAGCCCAAGGTGCCAATGAAAAGGGCAGGATAGCGCGATGGTTCCGAGAGCGTTAGTGCTTCTCCTTTTACCCACCTACCCAACCCAACCCACACGTACCTCTTCGGGCCCGGCCCCTTCATCTTCTTTTCCACGTTGGCATCAGATGAGCTAAGTCATGGACCACAGCTGGACGACTATCCTTTCCCTCGATGCCTCTAGCCCTGTCGTAGGACCACCAGGCGTGTGCAGCGGCAGCGACAAGCACCAAGATGCCCACGTGGGCATGTCTGATCACCACGCGACTGCCTTGTTGTCGACCGCGATACGACGCACAGCCCGAACCCGCCTTGTTGTTGTTTTTATTCATCCACGCCCAAAACCCCCCCCCCTGCCATATATACCCATTTATTCCCCGACCGTAGGGGGGCTGCATTTGTGTAACGACAATGTCTCTGTTTGTGTTGATATGACGAAGCCCCATCGTTATCAGCATGCTCATCCTCATCATCTACTACTACCATTACTGTCAAATCTTGTTAGCTGGCTTTAATTGCACCAAGTACCTTTTGTGTGCACTGGCGTTTTGTACACGATTGGGGCATAGCCCATGACATTGTATGCCATGGCATGCCATTGGGCGTGTTTGTTTGTTTCTTAGGCCCCATGTGTGGCATGAGAGAGCAAGCATGCGTGCATGCGTGTATGCTTTTTTGCCAGCATCATTCTCCCATACAGTACAACGACTTTTGCAGGCTTACCTGTTGCACTCGCACGCATACCCATACCCATATCCTTTATATATATATATATACTTACACTCTTTAGCCTAGGAAAAGAAAGGCAGGAAAGAGAGAGAGAGAGAGAGAGAAGAAGAAGAAGAAGAAGAAAAAAAACTACCCGACGAAACAACGACACATACACATACACACACACACATCATTGGGCGGTTACCTTGTTGACTCTTCAGTCTACTTTTCCTGTTTTGTTTTGTTTTGGTTCGGTCATGGTCGTCGTCGTCGTTGTTGTTGTTGTCATTTTAGCTACGGCATGGGAGGCAATTTGTGTGTATTTTTCTATTTTATTTTTTTGGTTTTTTTTTGGCTTTGTTTGTTTGCAGTAGAGAGAGAAGACATGGTCGTTATTATCTCTTTCCTTGTGTCAGGTCAGTCGAGTAGTATTTTTTTTTGCCCTTATGGGAAATCTGCGTCTAGTTTATTTGGTCGCCGCTGTTGTCGTTGTCTTTTTTTTGTTCTTTTATTCGTGTTTTGTGGTTGTTGTTATGTATGGGATTATTTATAGCGGATATGAGAGAAGTGGATCAAGGAATGCAATATTCTGCTCCTCTAGTTGCTTCTTTTGCTTGGTGAATGGTATGCTATGGTGTCGTGTGGTGTAGTATCATGATGTAGCGACCATCCCACTTGCTTTCACACATGCAACAAGGAAAACAGGCACATGTGTACAGTCGTGTATAGGTGTTTTCCATTCATGCTACTTTCTACTACCCGTATGTAGAGTGTATCTACTGGTTCAACTCCTCGGCCCTCTTCTTCAGCTCCTCCTTGCTCGCAGGCGTAGGCAGGTTGTCCGCCACCACGGGGCCTGGGTTGGCCTTGTGTGCCTGGGCATGTAGGCTGCCGCCCGACGTGGCGTGCGTGTCGGTGTCGTGGTGCTGGTGCGTCGACGCCGTCGAGTCGGACGACTCCTTGGCTACCTGGTCGGTGATGTCTGGTACGTCATCGCGTTAGTTCTTCCGTTTGTCGTAGACTTGCCAGGAAGCGAGAGAGAGAGAGAGAGAGAGGCAAACACATACTGCCAGAGGCGGTCTCTTCAGCTGGGTGGACAGGCATTTTCAAGATGTCTTTTGGTCGGACTTGTGCTTGGTGTGTAGGCGGGGTATCTGTTTTATAGCGTGCAAGAGTTGTTCTCAGAGGTTGCAGAGGAGGGAATGTTGGATGCAGAGGCCATGGCGGGCGGGTTATGTAGGCGGGAAAAGCGCGCGGGCGTGATCGGTGACGTAGGTGTGAGAGCCTGAGATGGGGAAGTACCTGGTACGCCTGTGTAGATGGCGGGGCAGCTTCGAGGTACTATTGCCCCATTACTGCAAGTGGTTGGGCGGGCTATTTGGGGTTAGCGCGGGGTAGTCCATGTACACCTAGTAGTCGTAGTCGTAGTCGTCGTCGTCGTAGTAGTAGTAGTAGTAGTAGTAGTAGTAGTAGTAGTAGTAGTAGTAGCAGCAACAGCAGTAGAGCTGCAGGCCTGGGGCTCCAAGGCATGGCCTGGCACGTGGCTGAAGAGGGTGAGTGTATGAGGTATTTTGAGACTTTGTTCTTTTTACCTACTTCTTCGGCCTGTGCCCTCCCCCGTGTCAAGTTGGTGACAGGTGTTGGTGTTTGGGGCGGCGGCTTCTCTGAGACCCGCGTCTGAGACGCCGTCGGGGAGTTTTTGATTGACATTTGATGCGCAGAGAAGGGGGGACTTTTGTGTTGGTGGCGCGGTTTGCTGTGTGTGTGAGAGTCTATTGGCTCAATACGGAGTGGGCATTTGTGGCGCGGATGCGGCTTGCCTGTGCCTGTGAAAAGCCCATTGTGTCGAGAGGCGTCGGCCAGCGACTCGATATTATTAGTGTTCGCCTGGTGCCCCAAATAACATCCCCCGGCGCAGGTACAAGGGGGAGAGTATTGGACGCCATGATTCGGTTGATTTGGGTGTGCTCTGCTGTGCACACGGCCTGCACATATGGCCAACCTGCCTTTCAATAGTGTGCAGCACTTAGACTTACTGTGCACTGCCACGCAGCATGGAGTCCTGCCATCTTATCCGACACGACAATGGCAGGCTATTCCGGGGCAGTATTGAGCGCCGCGAAGCACGTCTGAAGGCTGATCATGGTTCCCATCGCACGCCTTCTGCGCCAAGGCTCCCCGCTGCTGATGGCACTGTTGCCGTTGCTGGTGCTGTCTGTCAGCATTGGCAAAAGTGTAATGCAATGCACTGCACCGCACCGCACCACGACACCAGCCATTGTCCTCGTCGCCTCTCCGCGCGTCGGCCTCTCTGGCACCGGCTGGCCCATGTGGATGAATCTGAATTTCCGCCCGCAGCACGGCGCGGGGAACGGGTGGCCCTATTGGGGGCGCCATGTCCAGCAAGCGCCTTCTAAGCCACCGAGACGCGTCGCAAGGGTGCTCGGCCATTTGCCGCCCCTTCCGAGCTTCAGCGACGTTTCGCCTCGAGCAACAAGCTCCATTCAAGGAGAGCGCCCGTCGACGGCTCGCTTTCATGCTTTCTTCCCTGATCTGATGCGACAGCTCCTAGGAGCCATGTGACGCGACCTCTCCAGAGTCGATCATCATATGCTGCTCTCTTCAGCCTAGTCTCGTCGCCGGCGTCGCATCGCAATTCACCCTCTCCTTTCCCTCCCCCCCCCCCCCGCTGGTCGGAACAGCCTGCCTCGACCCATCTTGTTCCTGGCCGTCGCCCACTGGCATCGCCATGCCGCTGTTACTTGCGCGCTCGCTGTTCGCGCGCCAGAATCCTTTTGATGAGGCAAAGCAGACGCTCTCATCATGGGACAACTGCATGGCCAAATCCTACTGCAAGTGCGTATACCCTGCCCGCCCTGCCCCCGTGCGTCTGCCCCAAGCTGACATGCTCCAGATGGCCCGTCATTGTTGCAATCATCATCGCCGGTCTGATTCTCTTCTCCGTCATCACCTGCATCGCCCGATGCATATGTTGCGGCGCTGAATGCGCCTGCTGTTGCTTTCGATGCTGCACCTGCTGCTGTAGTGGCGGCGGGCGATCTCACAAGCGCATCAAGAGCGAGCCGCCCGCCCCCTATCCTCAGTCGTACGCAGTTCCTCCTGCAAATCCCTATGCCCAAGCACATGCCGCTGCGCCACCTCCGCCTCCATTGGACCCGAGACCAGTCAACCAGCAATACCGGTCCAATCCCATGCCCACTTTCGCGCCCGCGCAACCAGCCCAGCCAGCGCAAGAAAGACCGCAATTCGCCACCTTTGACTCGTCCAAGGCTGTGGTCAATGAAGACGCCCTTCCTGCCATGCCAACCTGGAAAGAGGGCCGGGATGTACATGTACAAGTCGAGGAACAGCCCATGCCAGAGAAGAAGGGAGATGTCGAGTTGGACAGGCTGGATCACAACGGCAGCGTGACAAGTGGATCCATTGGGGGCGTAGCCGCGGCAGCAGTACCGGGGGCACGGCGGTCTCCTGGTCCGGGCAGGTCCCCAGTGTCGCAGCGAGATGACTATGGCTACCAACAAAACAATTCTTATGGAGGCGACTCTGCGCCTTACAACAACCAGGGCCAGTACGGTCAGCCATACGGTCAGCAAGACCGATATCGCCAAGGCTCGCCTGCGCAGAAGATATCTCCAGTATATGGTGCAGGTGCTGGATACGCTCAGCAGCAGCAGCAGCACCCATACCAGCAACAGCCGTATGGTCGACAGTCACCAGGTCCAAATACAGCATACAACTCGCGCGACCACCTGAGCGAATACAATGATATACCAGCAGCCTACAACCAGCCACCAGCCGCCTACGACCACCCACCAACAACCTACGGCCAGCCACAAACATCATACAGTCAGCCAGCACCATATCAGAACCTGCAAGATACCTATGGCCGGCAAGAGTACCACGATGCGCCAAGCTATGACTACCAGGCTCCACCAGCGTCGAATCCATATGGCTACAACGCAAGCATAGCCCCTTCATACCACACACACGACCCAGCGCCAATGGAGAAACCACCGTTGCCAGCATCACCCGCATCACCACCTCCATCCCTTGTGCCAGGCCGCCCAACGCCAGCCCCAACGCCCGCACCAGCATACCCGGGCCAACGCTCCTACACACCTGCAGCAGACACTGCACCACAGCGGACGTCGCCGCCACCACAGGTCCCAGCACAGCAGCCCTACCGAGCCTTTACGCCGGGCGTTGAACAACAAAAACCACAGCAACAACAGCAGCAGCAGTACACGGGTGTAAACAGAAAGGCAGTGGATGGATCATATAGGGAATTATAACCAAACACTCCAACATGGGGATACATAGGGACATGTAGAGTAGGAGGGGAGTGTATTGCATTTGCAGAGGATATTTTTGATACCCAATTATCAAGGCATTGTGTGTGCTGATTGAGTGATTGTGATTGTGATTGAGTGATTGCATAATACAATGCGCAGAGTGAAGTGCCAGTTCGTGCTCTTAGACTCGTATCCTATTGAGAGATTCAAGTCGACTTGACTTGGACTCTTGATTTATTCATTATACATCCTTTTTTTTCCCTCTTTTCCTTCATCATCCATCCTTTCCCTAATCAACACAACCCCTCTCTCTCTTCCCTAGTCTCGTTTGAAACCAGCCAAGCCGAGTCGTGCACATGACTCGTTGAGAATGTTGGCTTTGTAGCAGATAGATTGCAAGGAAAAAGGCAAAGAAAAGGCAAACAAAAAGGAATGCACAGGAAGGAAAGAAAGAAGGAAAGAAGGAAAGAAAAGGGTCTAGCGCTTACGCAGGGCTTAATGGGGGTGCAGTTATCAATATGAGGACTTGTTATTATATTAGTGTTGATGTATATGTTATTATGATTATTATTATGATTGTTATTACGATTGTTATTATTATGGTTATGGTTAAGAGTATTATAGAGACGAGCCGCGCAAGATCATCATCATCATGTCGTGCATGCAGGTGGAGTCTATCAAGTTAGTTGTGGGGTGGGGTTGTAGCGCGACGAGCCAACGACTGGATCAGATCTTGGATAGAATCACCGTCTACTTGTATCGTGTAAACTGAGTCATCGTTTTTTTTTATTATCCATCTTGCTCACATGCAATCTCAAAGTCAACGAGTAACCACAGGTTATGCACACACGAGTAAATGATCAACGCAAGGTCCATTCATTCAAAGCTGGGGGGTATCAAACTATGCTCAGGTCGTAATCAAGAATGGGTGCCGGTCCTTGACTCTTGTCCCCTCGCATCCCATCTTCCCTGACAGACCCGTACAATCAAAACTATGTAAAACAATCTTGGAAAAAAAGAAAAAAAGAGGTCGTTCGCTCGCTCGCTTTCCATGCCATGCCATGATCATTACCACTCGTCTTTCCATCCTCCTCCTCCTCTCCATGGGTATAACCACTCGCTCTCTCTTTCTGTCTCTCTCAACGGCGCAATATAAGACAAGAACAACCAAGGAAAAGTCTGCAAGTACCCGTACCGCGTCATGCGCCATGCTGACACGTTGAAGAAAAGAGTTGCTTCACGCCGCTATGGTCGCTTTCTCATGCTTGTGGTACGGGTCCTGCTAGACTCTACTCGTATGCGTCGTGCGCCTTCTGCCGCCGCCGCCACGGCCGCACGTCAGGCAGCTGATGATGATACCAAACAGCGAGACAATGGCGTTGATGATTGCCTTGAGGCCTGCAGCAATGGCGTTGACAATGGCCATGATGCAGTTTCCGATGGTCCGGAACTAGACATGGTGTTAGTGCGTAGTTTTGAGGGCGCGAGCAACGGGTAGCACCTACGATGGACTTGATGCACGATACGACGGCGCCCATGGTGGCGGTGTGGACGCGCTGGTCAGAGGGGTGTGGTTGGTGTAGGTGTAGGTGTTGGTGGTAGGGGCGGGACGAGGAGGTTGTTTTTTGTAGGTTCGTTCAGAGGAGAGGTGTCGAGTGTCAAGTGAATGGGCGTGTCGAAGAAAGGGCCTTATATGAATGGAGCAAACAAGGCCCGCCTGCTCTGGCCATGCACAAAGGCTACGTCACTGCGTCCGTGCCTGGCGTGCAGCAACAGTTCGCTTTCCGTTTCCGCTGTGTCCATGATAGCAGAGGTGCAGGTGACTTGAACGTGCGAGACTGCAAACGCCCAGCGTCGGCGGGTAAAAAAAAACAACCAGGCAGGTTTTTCTGCGCCCTCCGTGCCTCAGCCGCGCCCTCACAGCACGCACACAAGCGGTAAAGATGGACAGCAAAGAGAACGGAAGCGCTCGATGCGGTGACGCAAGGCCGGCCTATCCCTGCTTGCGCCTGCCTGCCCCGTTCCAAAGTGGGGCGATGCGCCACAACCTTAAACAGCAACGACGTCACTCGCCCTTCCCAATCGGGCAAGTGATCGGCGGCGCGTGCAGTGACTGGAGCGTCTGAAAGGGAACAAGGGGGGATCGAGGAAAAAAGGAAAGGAAAAAAAAAAGTCAACACCGACACCAACGGCCATACTGTATGTGCACATGGCCCGGCAAGCAAAGAGAAGGTGATGCGACGGGACTTGCCAATACATGCGAGAGCCACGCGTTGCCTCGCTGATCGCACCACGACGACTGCAACCTCAAGCACGCATCGAAACCTTCTTATCCGGCACAGCGCTGCCGCATCACCAATGCAGCGCCCACCAACGAGTCAACGTGACGTGTGCTGCAATCTGGCAAAGACCGAGACCAAGGCGCTTCCAGACTCGAGGCGCTGCGCGAGTCGCGACTTGCTGACGCCACATGCACATGGACGTGCATATCCATGGGCAGATGCGGAACAGCATGCATCTCCCATGTCGAACCACGTTTGGCATGTCCATGTCCATGTCCTTGTGTATGGGTGTGAGGGTGAGGGTGAGGGCGAGAGTGGCCGGGCTCCGCTATGATGCCATGCTGTCATAGTGCGCGGGAACCATGTGCGACACTCATCATCACTAGGCCTTGTTCAGACGACCAGACAAGCACAAGCACAAGGGCATCGATATCCCCCCCCCTTGCACACCTGCAGCAACAGGCGACGGGCACAAGTCTTGGATGCCATCATGTTGGCGCGTGCGGGGCTGAACGGTGACTGAACCTCTCCTCTCGCATCGCATCGCAAACCGAACTTGTGCTTGAATCTCGCATGTGCATGTTTTCCCCCATTCCCCGCTTGGGCCTAGGGCCGCGCCACGCACGCCGACGAGATGACCTTTGATTTCGAAAAGCGGCTGCGAGTCGGGACAGGCGGGCTGCTGGCTATGGTTACATGGACTGGCCTTTCTTGTACCGACTGGCCAGCTCAACTGGGCTTGGTCTGCACATGGCCTTTGACCCGTGCAACCACCACAGTCACGTCACGCCTTCTCCGCCATGCTAGCTAGTCCATGTCAACGGCTCTCTTCGACTACGACTACACACGCCTCTGACTAAGCATACCCGTCTACCACACCACATCTTATCTTATTAATCAGACGCTCCTAGCGACAAGCGCTAATAATTAGCGCAGCACTAGGAAACTTCTTAGCTATTTAAAGCGCTAACGCGCTTACTAAAACCTTTATAAAGTTTTAAGCTAATTATAGTATAAAAAAAGCTGATATTACTAAAGTATTTAAGAAAGTTTAGTTATATATTATATAAAGCTTAGTTAAAGCTTACTAGTACATATTACTAGTACTATAACTTAGTACTTATTATTTATTACTATATTTTATATTTTCGAAATACTTTTTCAATATATTTATAAGCTTTTATTTATATTTTATACTTTTTTTAAATCCAAGTTTTTTTAGTGAATATATATTTTTAAGTCTTCATACTACTTTATTAAGCTTACTTTTTGAAGCTTTATTTCAAATAGTTATACTATATAACATTAATAGTTTCTCTGATATTTTAATTCAAAGTATTACTATATATATACTTTTAGATACTACTTAACTTAGCTTATTATTCAAAGCTTTATTTAAGATCGTTATACTATATAATACTCATAGTTTCTTTAATATATTAATTTAAAATACTTTTATAGACTTTTATAAGGCTTTAGTTAATATTAGTATAGATAATATAAGTTATAACGTATTCCACCACCGAGAGTGCCACCCCACCGAGTGTGCCACTTTTTCTTGGCATCGCGAACATCACATATGAAAACTTGAATTACTCTACACTAGCTATAGATGCTTCGTACGACTCACTTGCATCTAACATAGAATCTTCTTCTACATCTTTTTGGCACGTACGGGCGTTATGGCCCACTCTCCCACAGATTCCACAGTGCCGTTGACCTGGCTGGGCCTTTTCTTGACTACCCCCACCACGCGCTTTCTTTGATATT